CGGTGTCGACTAAAAAATACACACCACTAATGGAATCCCTAACGTGAAAAAGGCGGCTCCTAGTTTGTGTGCCAACGGTTGACGCCGTAATCATAGTCGTCGGTTCAGTTTTTTCCCGAAAAGGGTTGATCTTTCCACGCGCACGGGTGGATGCATTTGGCGGCATCCTTACCAAAGCATGCGTGATACCAACAATATTTGTGACTATTGTTGGGCGACTTGGACCTACGGCGAGCACTGGATTGAGGCTTTCCACCAAACCGTGCGCCTCTCGATTGTCTATCTTGGCTGAAATTGCTTAGCTTTCCTATGAAAGCCTGGAAAAAGCCTTCGACAGAAGTGGCTAGAGGGACGTTGGGGTTAACTTCTGCGAACGAGGGTTGACGGCATTGCATGGCATGATCTGCCATTACCGTCAAACGCTCTATAGGTATGTCTTGCGCTGGCGCAAGAAGGAACTGGACGTCCTGTGGTAACTTTTGTAACCACAGTTCCCTAACAAAAGCATCGTCGTGAGCAATGTCGCCCATCTCATTACACATGAGCCTGTAAAGTTGCGAGGGCTTCCGGTCACCCAAAGGCATATCCTGCAGTACGCGTCGGATTCGCTCTTTGTTAAAGCTCCCCGTGCGTTTTCGATGCATTTCTTATACCAAGTAGGACGAACGGAAGTGCCTCCGTCCATGAAATGACGGAATTTGCACTAAGTGCAGCTTTAAGCTGTCGATGAAAACGCTCGACGAGGCCGTTAGCGGCAGGGTGATACGCTGTGGTGCGTAAACGCTGCCACCCTAGCATGGCTGTTAACTAGTTGAATTAAGGCGGACTCAAATTGAGGGCCGCGGTTTGTAGTTACCGTACTAGGACAACCAAAATTGCGTTGCGAAACTGTCGGTTGAAGAACCGCTACAGTTATTTGTTGAATCTACTGAAACTGTGCACTCGGTGTTTTGTGATATTGTGAATGTTCTCTTGTTCTTTTTGCTGACTTTACAATTGTGACTCTTTGTTCTTTGCTATCCCACGAGCAATAGAATATGAAAAGTTGTCGGAAGACCTAAGTGGTTAGGATGCTGCTGTTACACTCCCGTCCGGTAAGTCTTCTCCGGCTTCTTTGCTAACATGTGACAAGGTTAATGTTCGATCTAATTATGTTGCATTGCAGTTGGAAAGTGCACAACTAGAACTAGAAGCTGCGGAGGCTATTAAAAGAGCTTCAAATGCCAAACGGCGTGCCGCGGCAGCCTTAGGAACAGATAGTTTGGTTCGGGCTGCAGAGGAAGTGGACGATGTACCCGTTGGTGATCAAATTAGGGTTAAACTTCCCTCGGCAGAAGAAAAGATTACGCCACCGACGCCGAGATATCCTTGGGATTGCGAACCAAATACTTCCTATACGAGGCTCAGGTCGGATATGGCAGGCTACAACACTGATAAGTTGCTGACTCGCTTGGAGTTGCCTCGATGTGAACTGCCTTGCTTTGATGGGTCACTGAGTCAGTACATCAGTTGCTGACTCGGTGTATTACAATTACAAGGAAAAGGTACGAGCACCTGAAAAGAATGCTATCAACAACTCACAATCATGCCGTTACGAGAGGATAAAACTAGTGATTTGGAGAACAACACTGGGATGTGGGGAATCGATTATTTTGTGTATATGTGTTGTACACATTCCAAGTTGTGTGCTTCAGGAATTTTCACTTAGGTCACGTTGGGCGCGTGACCCAGTTTTAAGGGAATAGTGGTATTGCGTGAAAATCTGT